ATTGTCGGTCCTGATATTCTTTTGATCAGAACTTCAGAACTGTAAAGATCTTAAATCAGCAGCATTTGATATCAGTATTTGTGGTAGCCATCCTGTTCGGATATATATATATATATATATATATATATATATATATATATATATATATATATATATATATATATATATATATATATATATATATATATATATATATATATATATATACACACACACACACACACACACACACATACAGTATTGCAAAGCTGTGCAGAACATACAGATTATATACAGAAAGAAAAATGTAATGTTGAAGTATTAAGCACCATTGTTTCTTACAACCTAAAAATAATGAAATGGTGGAAAAGCATGACATTTGGAAAAATCACCAGAGCGAATCTGGTGGAAGCTACCCATAATTATCAGGGGGGGAGGATGTTACTTTAAATAAGGCAACAACAATCTGTATGACTCAAGTTTAAATATTTCTGTTTCAGTTGTAGTATGTAAATATTTTAATAAATCAATCTAAATGTGGAAATAATGCAGATGACACAATAATATATGTCCTCTTTTGACTCTTGTTTTAGTGACAGCACTGCTATTGCATGACAGCACAGAAGTGGCGACAGTATTTTGCCCTACTAATATGAGAATCTTGAGATTGTGGTGACAATAAATCTGTCAAATGTCAGTCAAACATTCTCATTTTATCTAAACTTCAAAAGTGACATTTTTGGATAATTTTCTCCCCAAACAGTTTCTTGAAGCATCTCTTACATCTAGTTTAGACAATAAGCCATCTGGACCCATCACTCTCTCTCTCAGTCCAGCTCTCCTCACAAAGTTGTCGTTGTGGGGAAAATTGGAGAAAGAAAGAACATTATGCATGTTCGCCACCTTGAGCTATTTATAAAAAAATGATAAAGGTAGAATTTTAAGAAATCTTTAAAAAAAAACCAATGATATATGTATTATTCCACCTTTTGGGAAGGGAAAAGATGGCATGAACTGGAGTTCTGAATTAAACTTCCTAATACAGCTCCTCAGAGTCCTGTGTAATTCAACATGTCCACCTAGACATCCACTCCATTGCCTAAACCAAGAATCTACCTGGAGTTGGGAATAGGAAAGCCCACTGATATGCATAGGTGTTATCCTTTCTGCCAAATATCTCTCCTTCTCTCCTTGTTTGTCCACTTGTTCTTGTTCCCATTCTTCTTTGGCTTTAGCCAGCATCAAACTCTAGGGGAAAAAAATAGGGAAACATTTGAAAGATAACCTTAAAATACCTTTTTCACCATGGATCTGAAATATCAGCCACAACAAAGGTTTATGAAGAATTCCTATATATAATGCACAAGGCAGAAGCCTTCATCCAGTTCTCCAACCTTCTGCCTCCAAATGAGCAGCACATAAAATTGGGAAGGCTGTCCCAAATTTACATAGAAGAATTTGTTCTGTACCGCTACATGCAAGAGTATCTCGCTTTAATTAATGCATGATAGCTTGCATCATGACTTACCTTTAGAAGGAGTTTGCGTGAAGCTGAGATCTTGGGCTTCCTCTAAAGAGCAAAAATAAAAGAAATCAAGGGCACCATTTCAACAACACAGTGATAATCACATAGTCATACTGGCAAATGTTAAGAAAAATAAATGATGGAACTGTACTTACCTCCCTACAGAAATTCATTTGGGAGAAGGAAAAAAGAGGGAGAAAAAGTGGAAAGAACAAAATGAATACATGAAATGTAATACTCTTCTCAAGATACTGAAAATATGAGTGAGTGAAAAGATGTTATCACGCTGGACTCCTTAGTGATTCTGTCTGCCTTTTGAGATAGGCCAGACTTGAATACCAAAGTTGTGAATACTAAAACTACTTTTATTATAGGCTTAAGTAAAAAATATGAATGTGCCTTCCCCCTCCCTTACTGTGACAAATAAATATGATTCATAAACAAACAAATAAAATATTAAGCAGAACTGGGGAGGGTCAAGGCTAGCACACTTTCTCAAATTCCATTCCTGTTTTGGGCTGAGATTTCTGTTTTCTGATCACAGCTTTGGCTGTGGCTTTTCCTCCTTTTCTTTAGGATTATTCTCCCATCCTATTGCAGATATGCATTGATCAGGATGGATTTTCCTATCTGCTGTTGTCTTGTTAGCTGTACTATTAGCCTTCTTAAAACCTCTTCTTAAAAGTCATAAGCCTCTGTTAATCATAATAATCACAATGATGTCATTCTACTATGGTTCTTTAACCTAGTCTTCCTGAAACATGTGCTGTCCTCATGCCTTGAACTACAATTTTCAGAATTGCCAGGCAAGATAGTCAATAATTCTGTAGACCCAAAACATCTGGAAAGCACCAGGATAACAAAGTGTACCCTAACCTTCTAACCCAGGGGTGTCAAACTGCTGGCCCGCAGGCCAGTTGCATCATGCAGTGGCCGCGCCCACCTCAGCTCCGGCAATGCGAAAAAAGTTGTGATAAGTCATGACACGTCACATGACGCGGCGAGTTTGACACCCATGTTCCAACCCTAACCATGTGATCCAATAACATGGGCTAAGAATAGAGGTTCCATTCAGACAATATCCTTTCTCTATTTACTAAAGAAAGACATTTTCTAGGTCTACACAATGTAGTCAAAACACACAAGATGCTAATTTAAAACTAAGCAAGCTCAGTATTTTAGGGAAATGAGGCTGCTAGTTTTGTAATGTACTTGTTATGAACGGTGGGTGAACACAACCAGAATCTGACTAAAAATGTTGTTAACGATTTCAATGCAGTTTTGTGTATTTGTCACTGCTACATATTTCTAGAGGACTTTCCATAAAATGGGAACATTTATATATTAAATACTGGTGCCTAGACTCAGACAATAAGAATTATTTTCACACTTGATCACATCTGCAAATGTACTCACATTTGAATAATCGACTGGTGAATTGCCAGATTTTGAGTATGAGGTAATTACATTCGTTAAACAAAAGGATAGCAATCCCCAGGTAAAAGCTACTCTTATCAACTCCTCATCCTGATCATTTATGGAACACATTGCTGCATTGGAAAATCTTTTGAGTTTTTTTCTGCTGTGCAAAACTAGTTTATAAGTTTGACCTCAAAATGATCTGTAAATGCTCTGTAACTATTAGTAATCAATTGGGTTCCGCATCTATTCTCAGCCAGTGATATTTATCGGAATGTTGGTGGATGATTTGTAATATATCACCAATATTCAGTGTTGAATCAAAACTGTTTGGCAAATCTCTACTTTCCACTTTAGCTTTTCTATAATAAAACCTTTGCGCATTGCTGAGAAATATGTAGGAATCCTTCATTTACATTTTGTATTGCACGTCTTTGCCTAATAGAGGGGGAAGAAATACTACAGGTAGAATCGACATTGAAAAACTCATAATCCAAATGATTGCCACCTTGATATATCTCAATGACAGGCACCTGACTGTCAAGATGTCAGAGGAGAGGTCATAGAGTGAATGAAGGAGAGCAAGTTTGCCTTTGGTAAGAGAGTAATTTGTAAGTGGCCAAACCCAGCAGTTCATATGGTACATAGGGAAGGCCTGCCTGAAACCCATTTTATAATAGTAACTACAATATTAATTTTCCAAAGTGTCTGTCTGCCCCCATAAAAGGTTAAATATCTGAAAAGAAAACCAAGAGACCAAAAATGAATGGGTTTCTAATTTAGAGATTTTTTTCTTTTAAAAGTTAAAACCTGAATATCAAATTTCTCCTATCAAAACTAAACCTAGAAGTGTGATTTGATTAGCTTAATTTGAGAGCTATTGTCCTGTAATCACCAGTTTGGAAGAAAATCCCATTTAACTTAATGAAACTAAACTTTGAGTAGACATACACGCTTGGTATAAGATTTAAACTGTATCCAAGACATGACTTGGATCTTGGAAAACAGCAGCTCTTTATTAAGTTTTGTTCTCAACAGGCAGAGAGTGAAATGAAGGAGAGGTGGAGAAATCTATAGCGCAATATTAAGTACCTCATTTATCTACTTAACATAGAAGGTAAATGGAGGAACAACTCATTTTGAGATTTTTAAGCAACAAGCCTAGTTCTATTTGAAGTATCACATCTCAAATCGCAATCATTCTGAGGTCAAAGTCAGATGATTAATCTGAACCACATGTGAATGTAGGATATCTCGGCCAATGGGGAAAATAAAATATTTACTCACACTTCAGGCATTGTGGAAACAAATGTTGCGCCTACAAATCAATATAAAGCAATGAATTACAAGAAATGAAACAATTCCAGCATTTAAAAATGAATGCAAACAATGATGCATAATATAAGCAACCTCCATTTATTCTGTATTATATTCATTTTATATTTCTTTATTCCAAGATTCCAGGTGGTTAGAAAAAGTGAGAATGAATAATAGAATTTCCCAGCAATGATGCACTTGATATGTTTTGTCCCCAAGGGGAGAGTGACAGCTCTAATGGAGTGGTAAATCCCATTGAACAAACAGCTAAAAATAATTGTTATGACAATGAACAACAAAGAATTGTTTTATTGTTATTACTGGATAAAATCAAATATATTTAAAATCAAAAAGATGATCCATAATAAATTGAAATGCATTTATGTGAAGCATTCTGTGTACGTATCTGCAATATAAGAGCTTTGCCAATATTATCAGTTCCACTTTCAGCTTATGGATATTCTCTGCATAGGTTCTTTTAAAAGTAAAGCCACTGAATCCTAAATACAGACCTGGATGTATAACTTCAGGCGATAACTCTGGACATAAAGTATTGAAAGCACAAAGTGAAATCCATGGTTTTTACTTCTGAGGAACAAGCATAGAATTGGACACAGGTTCATAAATAGAGCTTAACTCTCAGATGGATCCCCCAATGTTGAGAGAGCTCAGAAGCCAAGTCCCACCCCTGTGATGAGAATTGACAGAAGAATGGAAGGAGAAGAATCTGATAGCCACTTATTCCCACTGCTGTCTTACAGCAGCAAGCATGAGCAGGCAAGAGTTGCTTCTCCTCAGTCCTCAAAGTATTTTTCCTTTTCTATCAATTTCTTGCATTCAAACCCTGCCCTCAAGACCCTTCTGAACATCTTTTTTGGGAGGAGGGGGTGGGCTTAACATCTTTGAACTGCAAAAATGTCCTTGCTACCATCCAACAAGAGTGAGCATTTCCCGCATCTCTGCTGCCATCTTTAGCTTTTGTCGCCTGGCCATGATCATTGTACCTCACACAACCAAATTTGTTAAAGGGATGGGGCAGGGGATGGGCAGCAAGGGGACCCTAAATGTCTGCCTTCTCTGCCTGCCCTATCCTTATTGTACTACTTTCTCTGTTGCCAGTCTTGTATTATGTCTGCAGAAAGTACTGGGCAATATTGAAGCCCTCAAATGTAGATACCCCGGACACTTGTGCCCCTTGCCTGCAGACTCTTGGGTCCTGAATCTTTGAAGACTCCAAAGTAACAATTGGAATATTTATTAAGAGATTTAAATACATTAAGATACTAAAAAAAGATTAGACTGTAAAGTGCCTGGCTGGCTTTTTTAAAGCTCTATACAAAACATTTGCAGTTTGAATAATTTGATAAATAGACCTTATCCTATGGTTTCTGTATTCAAATCCTATCTCCAGCAAAGAGGCTTAAATCAAAGTTAAATAGTGTAATCTTCATTTTTTTCAATACAATTCATCCATATTAGCTTCAAATTTTGAGCATTTTCCCATAACAAATGTAAAAGCTGGAAACTCCATATCTATAATTCAAAATAGAAGTTTTTAATTTTAACAGATGCAAATTTCTCACTTTTATATATATGATTATTCTGCAGGTCATCATTGGAAATTTCTACAATGCTTATATAGAGTATACAAAATCTTAAAAAAATGATTCTAAGCAGAGTATTCTTATTCTTTAAAAGTAGAGTTTTTAATATTGTATGAGTGCTACTGAAAATATTCAGAAATAAATTCATCAAATACTATAGTATTTCTACTTAGATAAATTACCTTGGAGTTTAGTTTTTCTTAAGCTGTTTTTTTGACTTCATCATTATGAAGTTAATAAAATGCAAGATACCTACAAAACACTGAGAAGACAGTTCAGCAAAAATGGGCTCCTGGTTAATCTGATACAGAAAATAAATCTTTGCAGTTTTTCCACAGCTGAACAGGAGCTGGAATTTTGTGTGGGAGAAAATGGATGTTTAGGCATGCCAATTTTCAGTGGGCTTGCTTCACATATTTGTATTGTAATCATATATGATATAATTATTCACATCTGCTCCCAAGGCTCTTCATAAACACTTCTCTTGAGATCTAATGATTCATAGCTGAAACTGCCCTTAAGCGCCTCACTAATCTGTCTATTTTATGTATATAAGATATTAAATAATAATTAGGAAAAAAACATCTCAGTTTCCCCGTGGCTGGCCTAGCAAATGTAATTGTTTTATCATGCAAAAAGAAGTTGTATGAGGTCCTGTTCAGCCAGCTGATCTTCTCATCTGGCCTGATCAAAATAAAGTAATGAAGTTATAATTATTTTGCCCTGCTTGAACCTAAATCATCCCAGTTCCTTTGGTACATGATTACCTCAAGGCTAAGTCTTTGATCAAGCATCTTACCCTAGTGCAGTCCAGGCAGGAGAGAGATGGTAGCTGGAGAATGGAAAGGCTCAGACTGTGAACCACAGAGAAAAGGATGGGAGTAATAAATTGAAGCTTGACTACAACTGGTCAGTAAAAATAGAACGGAGACAAATACCCTTCTGGTACGCCTGCTTCCATACTGTGAATTGTCTACCCACAGACCACACATCCTTACTGTCTAGTCCTTGTGAATTGCACACATATGCATCTTGTCCATTACTTTTCCAATACTCTTGGGAGAATATAGCACCCAAGACATTCAGTTGCACCCTGTTCAGTTTCAGTGAAGCTATTGTTATTGTTCTTGTTATTTTTGTTGGATTGGGAAGGGCTGGAGAGTAAAGCCAAAAATAGCAAAACTAAGCATCTAGCAAGCCAAGAACAGAATCTGTTGGCGCTGGCATGGATTCAGGCTGAATTTAGGTGGATTGTAACAAAGCCAAAATCTGGTGATTCATTGGCATTTCAGACTTTAGAAAACAGTACTGGATGATACTATGATTCAGTGACTGAGTACATGATTTTAGAAGTTCAAGTTCTCAAATCCAGATTGTTTCCAGCATCATCAAAGAAGAAGGGCCAAGCAGAGGATAATCCAGAAAAAAACAAGCCATGGTGGCTAGTGCAAGATTTAAAAGTCAGAGAGTTATGGCTGTGATATTGCAGCTTCTTTTGTTCTAGTACAGGGGTCTTCAAACTTGGCTCTTTTATGACTTGTGGACTTCAACTCCCAGAATTCCTCAGCCAGGCATGCCTGGCTGAGGAATTCTGGGAGTTGAAGTCCACAAGTCATAAAAGGGCCAAGTTTGAAGACCCCTGTTCTAGTACAATATCAGCTGGCGCAGAAGCTGATCCTTGCCCTGCTTTTTCTTGACCTAGTTTTTTCTCTTTGAGCCATAACAGTAGATAGATCTTCAAATTACTTGTGAGACTATTATAGAGAATGGAAGCAGGCTACACACTTCCTCATATTCAGTTGAATTAAACAGAGAGTGGGGCCAGCACAATTGTGTGTGTGATTGTAGTCAAGGCCTAATAATGTTTTTTTTTTAATTAGGTAATGGGGCCAGAGCAATACTGTGTGGTTGAATTTAAGGCCTAATAATGTTTTTGAAATTAGGCAATAGGCAGCTTTGATGGTAATTTATCAGTCAGCTCCTGTTTTCTCTCAGCCTTATCATCTTTAGGCACAGAAAATAACTATGATTAAATATATATACATACATACATGTGTAAATATATATACACATACATAGCTATTTCTTTACCTATTCCACATTTAACTGTGAGGGAACTAAAAGATCTTTTGCAACTTAATAAAAGCATAATTACTCCAAAGTATAGGGTGCCAGGCGTCCTCCTCCTACAAGAAGTATATATGTATGTGTGCATGCATGTGTGTGTGTGAATTTGATCAAGTAGTTGAGGCACAGGCTGCCAAGAATAGATACAAAGCTCAGTGCAACAGCCTATCATGATGTCCCTCAAGAAGAGCCACAAATATTTAACATGCATTCACACTAACCAGACTGAACTGGCATATAAACTGCTCATAACCCTACCAATTCATCTCCATCTAATAGCCCCACACATGGATATTGTATGACTTAGGAAGACTCCCTGAAAACAATAAAGCCGTACAGCATTGCTTAGGTAGGACATTTGGAAGAGCTGAAAATTAAGAAGGATTTTTTTCCCCTGTGGACTGCCTTTCCTACATTTCAGCCAATGTAGCATTACTGCCCTGAGCTCTTCAGGATAGATGACTTTGAAGGGGATAAAGTTAAACCAAAAAAAGTAGAGTGCAATGGCCAATTAGACTTAGCTCTCCCAAAGGAAATGCCATGCAAGGACAGGGAAACAGAGAACAACAACTTGCCTAATATTTGCATACATAATTAGGATAATTTAAATGGAAATGAAGGAACTTCTAAATAGTGGGGAAGAATTTGGCCAGCTTTGAAACAGAGAATATCTTCAAAGAAAGGGCTATAAAAGAGGGCCTATGGCCATCATAGAGGAAATATCTTACCAACTGAGAATGCTATTGTTGTCATTGCAAAATTACCTTTGGTTGGACATTTCACTAAGTGTCAGATTTGGACAAAATATAGGAGCACACATTGTGGCTGATCAGACAGATCATATGTATGACAAATCTATAGCCAGGACTGATAAAAGTGGATGAGAACTATGTTTAAAGAATTGCATAGAAACTGGGTTGATCAGAAATGGAGCGATCCATAATTTTATCTCAAATCCATACAAAAACCAAGGGAAAACCCAGTATTTATTGGGGGTGGCCTTTGTTAACTGTCCCCTATCTCATTTCTGATTTCACCTCCCTTTCTGACACCCATGAGCTTTTCTTGCACCTGTTCAGCCATATATTTTTAGAGAAGAAGTTATGAGAACACAATTCTATAGTCTGGCAAGGACAATGCCTGGCATTTTAATCCTTGCTGCTATTATGGTTCAGGCAGAGAATATAAGCAGGAGCTTCAACTTTAATGACTGACAGAAGGAACAGGCATAGGGTTTCTTCTGCCCTACTGTCAG